AGCACAAGACAGAGCATTTACTTTTCGACAACAAAAATCTCGCGACACTAAGCTGGAGGATACGAGACACGTTCTTCGCTCGGATGTATGTCTCACCAGATTCAGCATTATATCAACTGCTTATCTTCTTCCACAGGTGCAGATGCATTTGCCTGCGTGGGTTTTCGGGAACCCTAAAAACCTATTATGTTAACAAACCGATTTTATAGTGGCATACAACTCCAATATAAACCCGAGTTTTCGTTTCAAAATATTGAAAAATATCACTGCTTTGCGTCGAGCGGATCCAAATCCGAGGTACCTACCTCTGTCTCATAGGTGTGTAGCATCATTTAATCACAGTCACTGCACGTATTTACATCTCCAAGATACGTGACTGCAACCAGTTGGTCTGGTCTTGCGCAAGCAGTGTGGTGGTCGACCGCCGAGTCTCCGCTTGACGAAATGGTTGTACTGCTCCATACGGAGCGCCCCCGGCACCACCCTATCCGCCATGTACGCCAAATAATTTTCAAGTCACACGAAGACATCCCGCAGCTTCTGGGCACCTCGCGTTCCTTGACCGAGAGCGTTTCAGGGCAGGTCCCCGACGCTCAGAGCGGCGAAATGGTGCCCGATGATGACGACGACGATCCGCTGGCACTCGAAGATGAGCCTGAGTCTGTCAATGTCGGCGAGTCGGAAGAGGTGTTTCCCGCAGAACCCGTCGCAATGCCACCCGCGCTCGAGGCGGTTCAACACACGGAGGAGGAGATTCGCGCGGCATTGGTGATTCAACAGGCCTTTAAGCGCGGGCACAGGCGTGTGGAAAGACGCAAAGCAGAGATGACCAAGTCGAATCTCGCCGCGAGCTGTGCCAGCATTTTCGCTATGTGCCTCAAAGAGGCGGAGGGTATTGACTGGCCGGGCAGGGCCTATAGACTCCGATATCTCGGGCCGCTCCCACACCTGCTCCTGTGTCTTGACGTCGTCTTAACCACTGCGCAAAAACAGAAGAAACAAATCAAGAAGGACCTGCGCGAAGCCACACACGAGAAGCTCGAGGCGCTCGACAAACAGTTAACACAGTTGACGTACGTCTAGCCGGGCTGCATCCCGGAGATTATGGTTAACAGGTTTCCCGCAGTGACGCGCTCAAGCAGATCATTCAGGTGCAGAAGATCCTGGGACCTACGGCCGCGCTGCATCGGTCCCACGATCTCACGTCTTTAAAGAGTCATGTATCGACAGCCGTTCAACTCATGCAGAGCCTCCCATTCAAGACGCCTGAAGGCTTGACTCAGCATCTTGAACGAGCGTACAAGGGAATCGTTCAGCCGAAGGTGTTCGTACAGGCGTCTGCGCAGAAGAAACCAGCGCTGAATGTTGATCATGACTTGCTACACGACTTGCCATCTTCATTTCTCCCGTGAATGACTCACGGTGGAGGTCCTGGAGGGATTCGCCTTGTCCCGTTTTCTTTTGGAGTGTATGTGCTGCAGTTGTATATTTTGAATTTTGTTCAGGCTGTAGATCTCGTACTGAGATACGTAGTCCATATTGCCGGAGAATCTACGCATCTATCTGCTTCCGCAGGGCCAAGATCGAGTTGATTGTGTCGACCACCATCTTTTCAAGGGTCGTATACTCGATGCCGAGTTCGCTTGTCGCTTTGGACGCGTCATAATTGAAATTCAAGTGACCGATGCCCGATAGATCCACAGGAGGGAGGCTGTCCCTAAGCTCGGGGAATCGCCGATGAATCACGTCGATAAATTGGTCGGGAATCTGCGGGACGTTCAGATGCGCGAATTGGGGAATTGACAAAAACGCACGTAAAGCCCGCCGATGAGAAGATATCGCTGGCCCTTGGCTGCCTCAAGCTCGACTGCCCGCACATGCGCGAGTGCGACATCGCGCGCATCCACGTAAACGGGTGACCCCACTTTCGGGACGCCTGATTTGTATTTACCATTCGCCATGTCCCACAAGAACGCCGTCGAGACATTCAGCGCTGACATGGAGGTCAGCGGCTGGAGCGGAGGCGCGAACGTTCCACTGCATAGGATAGTGAGTCATACATGCCGGATACGGGAATAAGAATGTCGACTTACCAAGGACAAATGGTCGATCCGGCCCATGCCGGCTTTTCATCCTTGATGTAGTCCCAGAAAGCGCGCTCAGCAAGGGCCTTGGATGCGCGATAGACGAGTGCGGGATCAGCCGCCGACTTCGCCTCGTCGTATGTGATTGGATTCCATTCAGTTTCCACCACAGCCTTCCCAGCCTCCATGGTGGGCTCAATGATAGCGGCAAGAGACGATGTGAAGACCACGCGTTTAATTCTTGGCTCATTCTTGGTCGCAGAGAGCAGGTTTTTTGTGCCATTTATAGCAGGGATGAGGAGATCGGCTTCGTTGTCCTACGGAAACTGAGCGGGTTTGAATATAATAATCAGTGAATGGCTGCAAACATTTTGGTGCCAGTGGGCGGGGGACGCGAGATGGGCAATGAAGTCACAACCATTCACTGCCTCGTCAAATGCGCCAGGGACCGCCATGTCGGCGACAACAGCATAGTGAAAACGTGCGCTGTGGGCAGGGAATCGTGAAATCCAATCTTCAGCCTTGGCTGCAGTACGAGCGGTGCCCTTCACGGTGTAACCCGCGTCCAAGAATGCCAATGCGGTATGGGTGGCAATAAAGCTTCGAATGATGAGCACCCTCACCCACTGCGGAGCAGACAATGACACACCCAGTTATTCCTGTTACAAGTACGGTTCCGCGAGACATCGAGTCCGTGATAAGTTTCTTGGGGGGAGGGATTCAGACTCTGGAGAATTTATACGTGCGCTCTTTCTTCCCAAAATACTGCTCGGAACAGTAACCGAGAGTTGTGCGATGAGATACATGTCATGTAGTTGGATTCTAAGACGCTTGTGCCGGAACTCGGGCGGGCTGACATGGCCTCGGACGGTAATAACAGGTTCCTGCCTGCGGCACTGCGCCGTTGACGAAAAAAAATGTGCATAATTGAGTTCTGGATAGAACAGTTTGTGAGTTGCCGGCTTCAGGAAAAAGCCGACGTAAGCCCCAAGAAGCCCCAACCAGCAATAAGGACGCCGGAGCCAAAACGGAATAACGCCTTTCCGGGGACGCCTTCCAACCAGCACACATAACCATCCACCAATCCAACATAAAAACAGGTGGCCAGCACAGTATCGAAAGCGGCATATTTGCGTTGGAAGTAGAACGCAAAGAGAGCGAGGCCGATAGCTGTGCCGCGTCCTGAACTGAGGATCATGACGGACTGGGCTGGGGAGGAAATGGCTACGTGATCTGGAAGGCCAAATTCACGAATGGCGTAGGCGCTGTTGAAGAAAGGGAGGAGCCCCCCGAACGTGAGAGCGGTCGCGACGAAGAGCGGCGGTATGTGGCGCAGAGGGATCATTGTTCTGCATTCGGACGGCGACGCATAGTCGCGGTTGTCAGTTAAAAAAGGAGTTTTAAGCGATATGTACCGATGCTCACGTTTATCCACTCCTCGACTGGGTGTCTTGGCGGGTTGTCACCGCGTAGTTCAGGATGGAAACGAGGATGTCAGCGACTTTGAGAGGTGGTCGCCGGTCACTAAATAGTAAGTAGTGAGGTAGCTGAGCTAGTGATATGAGTATCCATTGACACTTCTTCGATCATGGAGTGTCTTTGGGCGTTCTTCCTACTTCCCAGTGACTGCGTTGTTCAAGGACGTCAGCTCTGTTGCCACCGATGAGCTCGCTGATAAAATAAGATAGCGTAGACTGAAGATCGAGGCTGCCAACTAAAGTTCGCCCTCACTGAACTGTAGTTTTTCACCTAGTCAGCGGCTTTCGGTATTGTCGCGGCCTCCAGCTGAAGTATAAAAAAACTGCTCAAACGTCCTATCGAAGTCTACGAAGAAACCGCCAATGCCAGTACACAGCAGTGCTGGTAGCATCCCATTCCGAATAATTCCAGGTCTCTGCTTCAAAACCGTCATAGCTGTTGCCATTCCGTGACCACGCGTGGATCCGTCCGGTGTCAACCGCGTGTGGGACCATCGAGAATACCAGCAGATGTCCCCTTGTCGGTGTGGACGAACTATCTCGAGAGCTGCAATATGGCGAAGTCGAAGTCCGCCCATTTTCCTTCCCATGGAACCGCAGCCGCAGGTTAGGCTTGCGAATAAAGTGCACTGTTTGCGCATTCCGCTTAGCTGTGTAGAGCCGTAGCTGTTTGTGAAATAACGGCCAGCGATGCGGACGGTCCAGGTTTCCGCCGAGTTGAAAGGAGCCCTGCATGCCAAGCCTGTACATATCTTCGAACATCAAAATCTTCACGTTGCGGACATCTATGGGCGCACCCAGTACACAAACCGGAGATTTCGACCATTTCTGATACAGGAGTAAAATTGTGAGGGTGGAAATGCACAATGAAGCCAGTGTATGCTAAATGGTTGGGACGAAGGCCATTCTGCCAGAATGGTCCGGTGGTTCAGGGATAACGACACGTGGGCCGTCTCAATTTTGTCCACGTAAGATATGCGGACCCAGAAGGGAATTGATAAGGGGATCATTACTTTTTTAATTGCGATCAATTGTAAGGTTTGACATCTTTCATGGTAATGCTGTCAATTGGATATCTGGTGGATAGGGGACAACCTGAATACAGTACAGCTGAACAAAGAAAAAAAAAAAAAAAAAAAAAAAAAAAAAAAAAAAAGACACTACGTCGCTGAACGAAAGACCTGGCAGAAGGCGAAGTCGCACGGGCGAGTCAATTTGGGGAACAAGATCGCGCTACTGCTTGCGGATGCGTTGTAGAGATCTCTCAGCAGAAGCCCGCTCAAGGAACTGGAGGACGAGTTCTGGTGTGGAGGTCCCCGCTGAAGACACAGAAAACGATGAGTGATGATCGGAGACAACAGCGCCAAACATGCGCGTCCTGTTTCCGGATATGGTAATTATGGGCGAGTCACTCTGAGCGGAAAAAGGACGGAAAAATGGCCCGAACTGGGAATTGAACCCAGGACCACCTCGAAATGCAGAGTCACCGCCCTAACAAGGTATCATACTACTAGACCATCCAGGCGATGCACCGGGTGTTCCCATTTAGAACCTGGTGGTACCGCCACTGGCAGCCGATGCGGGCCCTTAACTGCGTTTCGGTGGTTGTGAAAGAATACATCAGACGAACTCACAAAGGGAGACCCCATATAAGCGTTGCACCGCGCGCTATGAATATTTTCTGTGGAGTCCCTCTCCGAATACTTCCAATTCCAAAAGTTATCTAGTCTCTCGTAGACAGACGCTACAAACATATGCGCTCGTACCTCGCTTTGTTTGTAAAAGTTACCAGTCTGAAATTGCTCGTATCGAAATTCACCGTCCGACGAGTAGCTGAGGGTCCGGCTGGCCTTTCAGGATCACCACAAATGTACCATCCAAGGTTCACTTATTTGTGGAAAGGTCGTTTTCTTGTATTTCGTCCATTTCTAACGTTTTTCCAAAAGCTAAAGGTTCAAGCCAATACTTATCACGAGCTTGGTTGCCACACACATTTCTAGTGATCATACAACGCTTCAACAGTCCGAAGTCCCGTATACAATATACTCCTCAAATCCCGACTCTTCTCCTGGGTGTCTGCGCCACTCTAGCACTGGCACCAGCACCAATGCCAGTATGCCTGGGGGTGCCGGGAACGATAATCTTGGAGCTTCCGCTGCTAGTCTTGACAGCAAGAGCAGCTTCAGCTACTTGTCTCGCCGTCCTGCACAAGAAAAAGCCAGTCAGGATCCGCTAGCACGAGGATAGAGAACACGCACTCTTCACGCTGGCGCGCAATTTCCGTTTCCAACTCCGCCTTCCTCGAAAACTCGCGATCCGCTTGCCGCCGATTTCCGCGCTCGTCAAAGTTCTTTTCCTTGACGGAATAGAACACGGAACCCAGTTCGGCTGAAGGAAGCAACAACGTCAATTGAGAAGATCGTGGGCGAGCTCGACTGATGACGTACCCAGCCAGTAAGCGTCGATCGAGGTAACTTGCGTCATGTATTCCTTGGACGTCAAGATGAGCTCGTGGTAGATCACATATGTCGGTGTATCTGGCGACGCCAAGTCAGCTAAATGAATGGAAGGGACACTGGTTGAAAGACATACATCCAAGACCATACAGAGCGCTAGTGGGGTGCAAATGGGTGGGTAGTCCGGAACGGATGTTGACGAATTCCCCAATACCCTTGGCGCGCGCCGCCTGATGAAAGTATCCCGCGCAAATGGCCTTCCTGTGAAGCGGCCAAGTCAGACGAAAGAAATCATCCCAAGAAACGCATGCACGGACCTCAAAACATCGAAATCAGTTCCAGCAGAGATAATTTCCATCTTTTGGAACTTCATGATATCCTCGAGCTGGGCGCGGACTTCCCTCGCCTTGCGCAACAGTTTCGGATGCAAGAAATGCTTCATAGCCCACTCGTCCCGGAAGCTATGGCTTTTCCACTGGTTGAACACGTTCAAGAGCGTCAAATGGTCGCTCTCCGGAACGTTAAACTTCTCCCGCGCTGCGTCGGCTTCTTCCATCCTCTCCTTCGGCCGGTAAAACACGCTCGGAACAGACAACATCGATACGATGGTCAACATCTCTGCTGAGCACTTGTAGTCCACGGAGGCGATCAACATCTTCGCCATGGACGGCTCCATGGGGAACTCGTTCATCTTGCGGCCGACGGGCGTCAAGTCGCCAACGTTGTCAAGGGCGCCGAGAACCCAAAGCTGGTACATGGAGTTGAGGATATTGGACTGTGCAACGAGCATCAGCATTAAGGTCGGTGAAGGCTTTGGGAGGTGCTCACCTGCGGCGGAGGATCCATAAAGTCAAACTCAAGCAGGTTCTTCACGCCCAAACCCTTGAGCAACAGGACAGTGTTCGCCAAGTTAGTGCGCTGAATCTCGGGAATCGTGCTCTCAAACAGCTCGTTCCTGTACGCCATCTCAGTGTACAGCCGGTAACAGAACCTCGGGGAAAGTCAGCGGATCGAAGTGGAGAAATCATCGAATTGACGTACCCGTTTCCTGTCCTTCCCGCACGACCGGTGCGCTGGTTGGCGTTCGCCTGGCTGATCGGTGTGATTTGGAGAGCGTCCATGCCGACCTTGGGATTGTACACTTTGAGCTTCGAATAGCCAGCATCCACGACGTATAAAATCCCGTCCACTGAAAAAACGAGTATTAGAACAGAAGGCAAGTGTCTCGAGGAAGACAAACCCGTCAGAGAGGTCTCGGCAATATTCGTAGCTACTATAACCTTCCTACGCCCATCGCTGGTGGGCTCAAAGATCCTGGCTTGCAAATCTGCTGGCATTTGCGAGTAAATGGGCAAGACGGCTAGCGGAGCTGGCTCGATGAGCTGTGATAAACGTTCTAAACACCGCGTCAGCTTAACCCAGAAGAAGACTGAGATAAACGAACCATTAACCACCTGGCACGTTATCTCGATATCCTCCTGTCCTGTCATGAAAACGAGGATATCGCCAGGCGGGAGCGAGAGATGGATTTGGAGGACTTGTTTAACGGCGCTGTCGACGTAATCCTCGCAGGGCGATTTAGAGTGGAATGTTTCCACCGGGAAAGCTCGACCAGGGATGGTGTACGTTGGGGCGTTTCCGTAGAACGAAGAGAACTGTGAAGTCCAGTTAGCACAGGGTCGAGGACTCGGAGGAGGGACGTACCTTATCCGCATTCATCGTCGCGGACGTTACAATGAGTTTCAAATCCCGTCTGCGCGATAAAACTGGGGAACGATGAGAGGGGAGGAGCAATCGCAGAAAATTACTCACTCTTCCGGAGGAGACCCATCAGAACGTCGGTATTCAGAGATCGCTCGTGCGCCTCGTCGAGGATGATGACGCTGTAACGATCCAAGTCACCCTCGTTGAGAGACTCGCGAAGGAGAACACCATCCGTCATATCTATACGAGGGGTCAGAAACAAGGGCAATAAAAGATGGGGGACTGTACATTTTATCTTCGTATCGGATGAAGTACAATCCTCAAAACGAATGGCGTATCCGACGGTAGAGCCCAATCTGCACTGAAATTAAAATGAGAGGGGATCCAAGCACAAGAAACAAAATGGACGTACCTCCATTTCTTCGCTGACACCGCTTCGCGACCGACATGGCAGCCACACGCCGAGGCTGAGTGCAACCCACCAAGCCATGCTTGCAGTACCCATCCTCGTAAAGGAACTGCGCCAGCTGAGTCGTCTTCCCGGATCCAGTTTCGCCGACGACCACGATGACTTGATTCTCTCGGATGACCTTCATCAGCTCCTCACGACTAGCGAACGCCGGGAGATATTCTCTCTGCTCCTTCAGGGTCCTGTTCCTAGCGAACGCGCTAACCCCTGAAGAGGTCTTCAAGTGCGTCGCGAACTTGGAGTCGCCTTTGTAATCCTCCGTGGTACCAGCATCCTTCTGTTCTTTCTGCTTTCGCTCGTCTTCAGCTGCAAGGGCCCAAGAAAATGGAGACTACGTGAATGTCCAGACTCTGACCAGGGCGCCAAAACCCGAGTGAATCGACGCACCTTCCGCATCAGCCTCCTCGTCTTTCACGCCCATGATGTTCCCGAGCGCGGTCCCGCCGAGGGCAGCGAGCTTAGCAGCGGCCTTCGCGCGCTCTGCTTGCTCTCGTTTCTCCTTGACTAGGGCACTACCTTTCTTGGAGAAGACGGCCATATCGCTCGTTAGGTCACGGATAGGATTAATGGGGGCAAGTTGCTTGGTGAATACCGTGCGACCGTCGAGGAACGGCGGTTTCAGGTCGTGCACCATGACGTGGACGGTAGATTCCGAATCGTCCTCAAAGTCCATGTCCACGGCTTTGCGCGTGGCGACGCCAGAGGTAAGCATTCGATTGGCTTCCCAAAGGTCGTTGTCGGCATTCTTTCGAGAGCAATTAGAATCAAATGGATGAATGGTGTCTGTGACATACATATTGTGCCTGCCTTGCAGATATTTTTTTCTGTAAATGAAATGATATTGAGCATGCAGGACAAAAAACATGCGCCGGACGCTCACCACTTGCTTGGTCGCCATTTGGGCACTCTGGAGCGCATTCAAATCCTCGTATTGAGAAAGGGGATTATTCTCCTCATCCCCAGCGACTCCACCTTCCTCCGCACCAGTGTACCAGTCGCGGTCCAACCGAACCTGCTCCTCCTCCCATTCTCGCGCATCCAGGCCGAAAGCAGAGTCAGGACTGCCAGCGCGTACGTTTCGTGGCGTAGGGGCATCCCACAAACGATTACCGGCTCCGCCCCAGCCAGAGTTCTCGTCGCCAGGTCGGCGAGGGGTCGAGTCCCAGCCAACGTTGGGCACTCGGACACTGGGTGCGTCTCCGTTTGGCTTCACCGAGCGCGGCGTGGCGTCCCAGCTGCGGCCTTTATCGAAATCGCGCATCCCGCCCCAGCCTCTGTCCCGATCACGATTGGACCGCCGCTGGAAGTCGCCCAAGCCCTTCGGGGCGTCGTCCCGGCGTTCGTTGGCAGCAGTGATACCCTCTGTAATTCTGTCAGAGACCGCTAATAGAAAAGCGCCGAAGCAGCAACCTCTCTGCTTGTCTTTGTTCCGTCTGTATTCTTCCAACCGTTTGCGAGCAATTTCCGACATGCCTCCAGGATGCGAAGGCGTTTCTGCGCCCCGCTGACGTTGGTTATCTGATCGGACAGGCAGACTCGGGACTGGACGGTCGATAAGCGGCAGAACAACATAAAAAAGACAAGAGCGCACCCTTGAAAAAGGGCTCGGAATCATCGTCCAGACGTGGTTTCTTGCGGCTACCTTGGTCATTTCCGTTGGCCGCAGCCGCACGCTTTTCCTGAGCCAGTCGATCGAGACCCAGTAGCGAGCTGCGGGGTGTAGGGGGTTCGAGGGGTTTCGCGGGTTGCCGGAACGTATGGCGCTATGGACAAGGGTTAGCTCTAAGGACATGAAAACACCTCTTTTACGCACAGTATCAGTGCGCATCAAGCCTCCTGGGCGAGCTGGCTCTGGCTCCAGTACATCCGAATCGTGGACGGTTATGCCTTCAACTG